CACGAGCCTGTCCTTGTTTTTCTTCACCCCAGTTGCATCAGCTCCCGCTTACAGCCTTGTCATCTTAAACGTCTCTCCCATCTCTGAAGCAGAGACAGATGGCTATAACATTTAATAACATACTGCTGCCCCAATGGTCTCGTTCTCTCACTCACGGTCTCTTTTCTAGCTACCTCACTACCCAGCCTTTGTTTCTGTCATTGCGACTGCACTAGGTCCGTCTGCCTCAGTATATCAGTACAGGCCTTTAACACAAGGCCCAACCTCCATGAAAATGATTGACTAAATGAAAATTATACAGACAACTAGCGCCGACGATAAAACTGGTCACTGGCGAAGTATGTTTGCTTGTAATATACTGGTAAAGAAGCTAAATATGCACTGTGTATGCCTTGTCGTTATTGCATACTTGCTGCTTTTCTGTCCTAGGGATAACACAATAGGTTAAGAGGTACCTGTAAATATACAGATGGTGCAAATAAAAGCCAGAATGACATCAATGCAACATGAAAAAAAGCAAGATATTCTGGTGACTGCTAATGTCAATGTTTTTTCTTATTAAACCATTCAGCCTTTGCAACTCTAGACCAAAATCATTAATCACAATTTGCAATTTGTGCTGTGTTTCTCCTCTCATTTATACAGGTTTTTCTTTTATTTGTCACCTGTCTGTATGTGTGGAAATCTGCCTGACTATGTCTCAGCACAGACAACATAAATGTGAGCCGATGAGCCACTCATTAAACCATAAGGCCAACCATTATCCCCACTGTTTGTTGACTTCACCACATCCTTACACACACATACACATACAAAGATCCAGTGTTGCACACAGTCCGATATTCACCGCAGCTTAAGAATACTCTGTGCCAGGACACATAGAGGTTTGTGTTTTTGTATAGGTTTGCATTTGTGTGTCTTGTCAGTGTGTGTGTGTGTGTGCATTGCTCTGTCCATGTATGCTAAACAAGAGATCTAATTGTCTCCAGAGGTTTTCTCTCAGAGGAATCAATAGGCATTGTTGGTAATACGTTCCTAGCCTAAGAGTCACTTTCAGAACTGCGTTATTTAATCTGACAAATAGGCTAGTTAAACAAATATTTTATATAGGACATCATGACTTCATGTGAGCTCTTTTTATCTATTACCTCTATTCATAGCAAACCAAACTTAAACATAAGGTATAAATAAATGTAGTTTATTTTTAATGCAACATTCTGTTGCTCTATCCCTTAAACTCATTTTATGTAGACCTTCCTGGATACAATTTCTCTACCAACAGGAAATGTCCCACGATAAAAAAAAAAAACGCAGTTTACTCAGGGATGTATGTGGTATAGAAGAGCTGTGGTGGGTAGAGTAGCAGCCCTTAGCCCTTCAGTATGTGTGTGTCAGTACGAAAAAGATCAAGAGACATCAAGGAGAACATGCTCACGTGTCCATATATGCGCAAGTGTGTATGTTAAAAGGTCAGTGAGGGCAATATTGACATGCTATATTCTGAGCACATGGAGCAGTAGCAGCAGCGAGGCCTGGGGTGTAGCATTTCCTCTAGCGTCCTCCACTCTGATGACCTGCCTCAGGTCACCTGACTCCACCTCTGTCAATATGCTGAAACCACTCCTTTTACTGAACAGCAGCAAACCAAAAGAGACGAACGCCTCTTACTCTGCGGTCAAAGCTGAAAATAGGAGCTCAGGCTACAAGCTACAGTTTGTTAGTTAATTTTCCACAGCAGATGTTATAACTAGTAGCATATTTGTTTCCCATGCTGTACCAGTTAACCCCCCAAAAATGTCTTATGCAATTATGCAGAATAGAGACTCCAGTAACTTATGACCTATGGTGTCAAGGTATGCTAAATGACTAATAATGCGCAACTCAAATAATTTTTCAGGAAGTCTAACCATAACTATGAACCACACCCTCTTTCTTGTTCTCCAGCTGTTAGTCACAGTGACAACTTCAAGACCAGCCCAGGTTAGCAACAATGTTGCTTTGATTGCTGTAACTTTTCAATCAGTTAAGACATGCTTTAATAGCAACACCTCTCTGTGTTAGAATGACATGTCTGAGCGCCATCCATCACAGTCCACCGTGCAAATCACTGGCAGGTTTTATGCATAGTTTGCGCTTTCAGCAGAGGTGTTTCAGCAGTGTCTTCGACTTGTTTAAAACAGATTTGTTTTGTGACTCATAAAAGAGATAAGAGAAAGTAAAAGACGGCCAGGCTTGGTTTTCATGTCAGAAACTGTTTGTGCCGTTGAGGCATATGCTGGTGTCACATGACCATGAGCTGATGGTGATGTGCTGATATTGAGACACGCTTCCTCTTCTTGCAGCCACGTAATGTTTCTACCACGTGTCCTAAAGGGTATTAGGAAGCACACGGCCTCTCTCACTCGCGCTCTCGCCATCTTCCTTTCCTCTAGTGTGGTTGACCTTGCACCAGCTTGCAAGACCTTGGAGTCTGAGGGAGTGCTGCTAAGGATGCTGGAAGAGAATGCAGGCCAGACAGTCACATTGAGGGTACAAACGCAGCACCATAGATGGAGTTGGGGAGGGTGGAATGAACAAGAGGACCACTGGTTAAAACAGTATAAATTCTGTGGTTAGACCAGAGAAGTAGATCATATTAAACAGTTATGAAAATGGATGCCTTGGAGACAAAGAGCACCGACAGTTAAAGTGGAATTAGATAGAGGGAGTGGCATACTGACAAGAAAGACCATAGAGATGAACAAATCAATAGAGGAAGGATGGCCATGTCCAGACATGATGGATCATAATGAGCGCTTATTATCACTCTGGCACTGTCTTACACCATACTACATCGTCTATCTCTCGGAGATATGCGCTCATCTGATTCTAATAGAAACCATAGAAACAGATTAGGCAGCCAGACAGAACGCAGGGGGCGTCAGCTTTTCATGCATCAAGTCATCACACTCTCTCATTTGATTGAAGGCAGCCCCTGGCGCCTTCAATTTAAAAAAAATCATAATAGATGTCTCTATTCCACCTCATTAGTTCATGTCCAGCTGTGGCTTGAGTTCAGTGTGATGAGTTCAGAGATGATCCTTGTTCACCTGAATTCAACTTATTACAAAGGGTATTTCGGTAGTAAAAGTGTGTTGCCATCAGATTGAGCTGACATCAACATTATGTGATATTAAAAACGCAGGTCCTAAGGATACAGGGTTACACAGAAAGATTAGACTTGGCTGACTTGACATTTTAAAATGCTTGGGAATAATGTAAACAAACAAAAAAACCAGCATGGCGTATGTTGGACCAGTTTTAGTCCAAAACATTTAATCCAATTGCTCTTTAGTCAGAATGTTTCTTGGCATGAAAATACCTGGGAAACATTACTGCTTCTCATTAAAAAATAGCAGCATTAATAAAATGTTATTATCTGTCATTTGAAAATATTGTGCAGCGAGGTAATATATCTTTTGTGTTTGTATTTTATTAAAAAAATAATTTCTTTTATTCTCTAGAGTGCATGATATGGAGAAGATCATTTGCTGTGTTTGTGTGCGTGCCTGTGTGCTGTGGGGGTAGGGCAAGCTGGGTTATGATTATGCTTGCACTTCAAAGGTCATTTGCAGCAGTAATGCTACTTTTGCTATCGTAGGGGTCATCCAAGGTGAAACCAAGCAGTTTCCTCGTTCACTCTCTCTTTCTTTGTAACATATATCCATGTTGCTTGGTCATCATGACCTGGTCTGTGCTGCTGCAGGGCTCTGATATAGCTTGTTGCAGTGTTGCAGTGCCGTAAAGTTAGCAGCGGTTCGTAGCACTGCTGAAGGTGCACATGCTGTTCTGGGAAAAGCGATTTCTCTACATTGGGTGTGGTGAGTTACCCTGCCTGTGCGATAAGAGCAGAACGGGCCCCCCGGGAGCCCAGTCATTCAAATTCCCTGAGCAAACCCCGTACAATGGATTCACCAAAAATAGAAACAACTGGCAACATCAAAAAATTCTGATAAAAAAAACAAAACAAAAAACACTTTGCAACCCATGACCTCTTCTGCAAGTGATAAATGGGGAATTTGGTTTATGAGTGAAATAATAAACATGATGTTATCGCGAGTTCACATCTGTATGAGATCACCACAGTATTTCTGTGATGATGATAATGGTGCTTTTTATTTAGAAATACTTGAGCTCACGGAGAATATTATCTAGGATCTTTTATGTTTGAAAGAAATCATCTGTTTGTGAGAAATCAGGTAGTCATAGAAATAGTGAGCAGAGTGATTAGTTTAGCCTCTCTCTCTCTCTCGGTCTCTCTCTCTCTCTTCGTCTCTCTCTCTCTCTCTCTCTCTCTCTCTTCTCTCTCTCTTCTCTCCCTTTCTCTCTCTCTCACCAGCAGGCAGGTCAGCCTCCTCTTTGCTCCTCCCCCTGCTCTCACCTGGCGCTCAGCCCAGAATGTTGCTGCAACTCTGCTAGCTCTCATTGGTCCCCGCTCTCACACCGCTTCGCAAGAAGGGATATGACTAACCTCTTCTCCCTCATGCCCTGCCTCGACTTCCCCTCTGCTTTCACTCTCTTCCTTTCCTTCACCTCTAAACACAATTTGCTATGGCCGGCTTTGCTGTACTTGACAGTAAGTGATACAGGATTTGATCAGATTTTCCTGCCTTGAGCAGAAGAGGTGGAAAGTTGTGAATGGCTGCTTTGTGCATTTATGTGTATGTGTTTTTGTGTGTGGCGTGGCGTGGCTTGATGAGCGTGTGTGCACCATGTGTGTTTAGAGCGCAGGGCGGGTGAAAGTTTTATTTGTTTTAGCTGACACCCCTGCATTTCTGACATTTTTACATATTCTTCATGCCCACAGCTGCATAGCTTAGCAGAATACTGCAGGTCAGAACCTCCCGTTAAAGAGAAATGAAAAAGAAAATAAACCTGGAAGTTTTCTTTGGATGTGTATCATCACTAATCTTTCTTTCTGTCTTTCCCTCCTTTCTATCTCTCTCTCTCTCTCTCCCCAGAGGAAGTGCCTTCCCTGATGTCTGCTGCAGCTTTGACCTGCTTCTACAGCTGAAGCTCCACCCTCGCCCCCCGCCTCGCTCGCTTGCTGCCACAGTAACACGAGTACAAGGACAGTGACCACACCCTCCTCGCAGCCTACGCTCTGACCTGCTCGTCCACCCACCACCATCACCATCCACTCCTCGCAGCCGGGCTCAGCCTCAAGCTCTCCTTTACCAGACGGCCAACGCTGCCAACTGCTCTCCACCAGCTGACCAGCCTTACCACAGCAGCCCAACAAACCATCAGGCCCACGCAGCATCTCACCCACCTTGCCTTTAACCTTCGCCTTCAACCCTCTAAGCCTCCACTTGGTCCTCAGTGTCCTTAACCTTCCTGTAGCAGGCTACACCCAGACTATCACCTTTGTTGCCTGCTTCAACTGCACTTGGCTTTTGAATGTTGTAGATGAGACCATTCAGCGAGCAGCAGTAAGGGAGCCAAGAGTGACAGCTTAATTGTTAGTCTAAGTCGTCTCCTGGATATAAACTCTGTGGTTGATTGATCAGGATAATTGTCTAATAACATTCACAGCGAAACATCATCCTGCAACATTTCACTTTGGAAAAGGAGCCCTTCAATCAATAGGAACTTTATTTTGATTTTCATTTCAACGTTTTAATAAGTATCATAGACTCTAACAACAAATAAGCAAAAAAAAAAAAGACCTTAAAGTTGTGGAATAAAACACTAGAGGTACTTTACTCGTGCTTGAACAGATTTCAGCTCGGAATACCTTTTTTTGCCAGCGCGTTGCCATGGCGATGAACATGGCACACATCCGCGACACAAAGTGGCTGACACTTGAGGTATGCAGGGAGTTCCAGAGGGGCACTTGCTCACGCTCTGACCAGGAGTGCAAGTTCGCTCATCCGGCCAAGAGCTGTCAGGTGGACAACGGACGGGTCATCGCTTGCTTCGACTCACTCAAGGTAAGAAAGGAGAGATGGTGAACAGGAAGTCTGGAGGTCAGATCTCAGGCAGACAGATAGGAGACTTGGCACATTCAGTCTGACGGGCAGTTTGAGGGAATATTATGTCGTTACTAAGTGGAAATAGCTGTCTACAGTCTACATTGATTCATGCTGGAGCTCACCATCTGGCCATAACATGTGCTCTCTCCCTGGTTCCACCCATTTCTGGTCAGGTGACTGCAACATGTGATCAAGGGCATAGAGAGGAGGGGTGTTGCAGCTTTTTAGAAACAGGAAGCAGAAGTCAGGCATTTGTAACACTGCCCTGTGGAATCTTCTAGGACAGGCAGTGTTTTGGCTGGTGTTTACTGCCCTTATGTCGAACAGGAGTCATTCAGGAGTCGGTCTCATTTCCGACTGTTTGCGCTGTACATAAACATTGTTGAATGAATTTACTACGTCAGCACAGTCCCTCTGGAATTGATCAACATTGTCGTGTGCCAGCTTTTGAATGGGAAAACACTGTCACATGTACAGACTCATATGGATGCTCTGAGCACAACACGTTTCAACAGCTTGAGAGGAACGAGGCGATAGCGTCATCATGTAGATCTCACTCGGTCAAACCACTTCCTGTGCAGAGGCCTAGGGGCAGTAAGAGAGGGGCTTGTGTGTGTCTCTATTTGCGTGCGTGTTTTAGAGTGAAGTCGGGGGCAGATTTGGGGCATCCTATGCGGTAATTTTCCATTTTTAGGCAGCAAAAGAAAAACAAACACCTCTCTTTCTCTCTCTCACTCATTCTCTCTCATTATTTCACAATCTTTTTATTGGAGCACAAGATCTCTAGAGATGGGCGGACCTCAACCCAAAGTTTCCAGCATCGACACGTTTGGCTATGTGTGTCTTTTACTTCTGTTTGTATAATGCCTTTGCAGACATTAGTGACTCGTGGTCATTGGCAGTGTGTGAGCAGGGCAGGGTTAGGATGAGGACAGCGTGTGTGAGTCGACTCACAGAACAGTGTTTATAGCCAGATGTGGACAGAGGAACATTGTCAAGCCCAAGCTGAACTCTTCCCAAGTTTCCTCACAAATGCCTGTGTGTGAGTGCGTGTGCGATTGTCAAACTTACAAGATAAATTAAACCTTTTCTTGTTTGTTAGACTTTTAAAAGTCCAGCGTGTAACATTTAGGAGCATGTATTGGCAGAGACTGATTAATATGCATAATTATGTTTTCACTAGTTTATAATCCCCTGAAAATAAGAATTGTTGTGTTACCTTAGAATGAGCCTATTATATACTGCTAGCTGCCACTAAATCCTAGACCTTTAATTCCAGTTTTCATAATTTTGGCCATTATTCCTATTAGTTGCTATTGATTTACAGTTATACCTCCACATAAAGACGTAGATCATCTGGCTAAATTGTTGGCTT